TTTTTTTTTTTTTTTTTTTAAATATCTTTGCCTATAAGACAAATTCCACAGCATAAGAATTCAGAAACCATAATGTAACAAATCTCTGATGACTATTTGCAAATTATTTTTCCAGTGTCCTAAAGAATATGGCCCTGGCCTGAGAGAGTAAAATCACCTGCCACAGTGGTCCTGTGCACTAGGACTTCCCCCTCATTCTCTCACCTTTAGGGATGGGATAGCTTGAGAAGAAGGGCCAAGCGGATTACTTGGGAATGGGCCACATTGATGGGAATTCAGGAGGTCTCGCTAGGCTTCTACTGGGCACTGCTTTCTTTATAATGCTAAGTGTATATAATCTCTTTTATATGCCTTGAGAATGCGCTGTAATTGGTACACTCCAATAATCAAAGCAAACTTGGTCACATATATTAGACACCACAGAGAGGTGAGCCGCGGAGTGAAATTTATGTTGCTGTGTTACACTAGTTTCAGCTTCAGTTTTTATTTTATGCATGAAATGTAGGATAAGATTGCTCCTGTTGCCACTTTTAGAGTTACTTCTTTGACCATGTTTGGTTTGGCAGTTAAGAAAAAAATCAACAGCGGGATTACATTTCAATGGCACAACACCTAATCCTCAGGCAAATGATTCGTCCACGCTTAATATAAAGTACTTAGGATGTATTGTTTGATGTGAACACTAGTTCTAATAAAATGGTGCCTGAGGTACAGTTCTTTAACGTGTAATACCCTTATTTGTGTTGGCCTGTACACATTGGATATAAAGCCATTATGATAAAATATATCCTCTTTAGCCTGATAAAAAGGAAAGTCAGAGTAGAGGACCCATACCAGGAGAGAGAAGACGCTGTAAAACACAAAGTCCCTTATGATGTTTGTAGTTGGCATTGAGGACACGCCCCTCAGCACTTCTGTGATGGGCACTTTCCCACTGTCTTGGAGGAGCGATGGTTTAATCACTCAAGGTACCTTATTTGAATCTAACATTGTGCTGAACCCAGCTCCATTTAGCTGCTGCATTTGTGAAGTCTTTCTAACTGGAAGGAGCAGCTGCATCAAAATAGTGGATGGCAAGCACAAAGGAAGGTTAAAGGAAGCAAATACAATTCAGCCTACCTTTGATAGCAATCTCTGCCCTCAAATATCCACTTGTTATAACCTTTTTCTCCAGGACCCCGTGCTGCTTAGAAGCATGCAAGGTTAATAATAGCAGGCAAAAAATGCGAGGCATTTCAAGACGCAACATTCATCTTACCGTTCCACTAATGCGGGGATGACAGAAAGTCACTTTCAACCTCCTTTCCTGCTGCTTATATTACCTGCGTGTTGTGAGCTACTCCTCTAAGGTATTGGAGAATGATTGCTGTTCATATGGTGTTATAAGAAAGCTGGGCATATTTGCCATTATCCTCATCTGTTTTAATGCTTATAAATCAGCAAAAACTCCACCTCAATCCACTTCTCTCTGTCTCTGAAGAGCAGACACTCAGTAATAGCTTCATTCCCGGTTCATCTGATGACTCACTTCCAGAATACTGGTGATTGAGAACCTTCTCTGTAATTGTAGCTTTAGCTAAAGGATGAAAAATCACAAAATCTGAATTAAAACGACTTGAGTTTTCAGCTTCCCGCCTTACCCTGACTCATCTGCCACTCTTCAAAAGTTGTAGGAGAGGTGAGCTTTTCAATGAGATGCTGAGCTTTTTTTTTTTTTTTTAATTTGAGCTGTAGTTGTAATTTCTATCCTGCTAGAAAATGACTCGTGGAAGAGCAAGTCTTCGAAGGTTGCTTTTGGCTTAGATTTTTATTTTGAGGCCAAGTGCTTAAATCCATGAAAGTGTCTTTCCTTTGACTGAAAAATCTGGAAGTAAAGATGAATAAAAGGATGGCAACAAAGCAGAAAGAGGAGGTAGGATGGGAAACCAATGCCTTCCTTTACCTCAGCTAAGTGGCATTCCTTAGCCTTCCCAGCATTCCTAGAAAGCCACAGGGACCGGGCACAGTGGCTCATGCCTGTAATCCCAGCACTTTGGGAGGCTGAGGAGGGAGGATCACCTGAGGTCAGGAGTTCAAGACCAGCCTGACCAACCCGGAGAAACTCCATCTCTACTAAAAAATACAAAACCAGCCGAGCGTGGTGGTGCATGCCTGTAATCTCAGTTACTCTGGAGGCTGAGGCAGGAGAATTGCTTGAATCCGGGAGGCAGAGGTTGCAGTGAGCCAAGATGGCGCTATTGCCCTCCAGCCTAGGCAACAAGAGTGAAACTTCCCCCCATCGCCTCCCCCCCCCCAAAAAAAAGAAAGCCACAGAGACAAAAGCAGCTACAGAGCACAAAGAGGCTCCCATCCAGGGTTGGTCATGTGTCCCGGACATTGTGGAGAGGGCAGTGCCATCAGTGACCTCTCACTGCTCCCACTCTGCCCTCCTGGTCCATCTGCCTGGAGGAAGGACGTCTCCATTCCAGTTGACTGAGGGAAGCTCTGGAAAGAATGGCTACTTATCCTGGAACTCGACTTTTAGTGCCAGTTCTAGAGAACCTACACCCCAGGACTTAGGAGAGCTCCGTAGCTGTGTGCTCAGGTACACAGATCAGACCAGGGACTGCGCTTGAGGCTTCCCAGGGCTTTTTCCAACCAGGACAAGTGAGATTTCTCCAGAAGGCCTCTTCCCAGATCAGCTTCCCATTTGTGAAAAAGAAGCTGGAAGCGGATTCCTGGGTAAGAGGTAGAATTTGAAGCACAGGTTAAAAAGGGAAAATAAAGAATGCTTTTAATGATTGGAAAAGAGCACCTCCTTTGCTCCTACAAAAACTTCTCTCCAGTCAAATCCCCAATGTTTTCCTATATCCTTTCTTTTCTTTTTTTTTTTTTTTTTTGAGATGGAGTTTCACTCTTGTTGCTCAGGCTGTAGTGCAACGGTGCGATCTCGGTTCACTGCAACCTCCGCCTGCCGGGTTCAAGTGATTCTCCTGCCTCAGCCTCCCAAGTAGCTGGGACTACAGTCATGGACCATCCCACCTGGCTAATTTTGTATTTTTAGTAGGGACAAGGTTTCACCATGTTGGTCAGGTTGGTCTCAAACTCCTGACCTCAAGTGATCCACCTGGCCTCAGCCTCCCAAAGTGCTGGGATTACAGGCATCAGCCACCGTGCCCGGCCTATCCTCTCTCACTTTTCAATATTTAGTCTGATGCCCAGGAATGAAGCTGAGGGGATTCTCCTTTATCATCTCCTTGCCCTGCCCTGTGTTTGTGTCTGCTCTAGAGTTCAAATTCTTTTTCAATAGGCTCTTAGATGCCATGCCATTTTGTTGACTTGGAATTTTGTTATTCCATATACACAATCTCAGTTAAATGAAGAAAGAGATGGATTGGGTTTAGGAATCTTTCACTTACACAGAGTTTTTTTTTTTTTTTTAATTACAAATGGTCATTTTAAAAATGAAGTTATTCTCTTTCGTTTTTCAAAACTCCTTCAAGAGAGGTAGGAAGGGAATTTACTCTTCTGCAGCTACCTGGGAGAGTGCCTATTTTTAGCATCAAGACCCCTATTATATGAGCATTAGAGAATTTAAAGCCACTTGTGTAGCTATTCTTTATTAGAAAAAAAAAAAAAAGGGTCTCATATTGAGAATTCAGAATCCTTCCCAGGGAAGGAGAAATTGGCTGTCTAGGATATTATGAATAAGGGAAAAAATGCAACTAGAAACCTGATAAGATACTTAACTGTGCCTAGAGTTGTTATTGATATGAAATGCCCTTGCTGTCGATATTTTATAATTCCTAACTTACTTATAGTCTCAGATAATAAAATTTTACTTCTAGAATTTTCAAATAGATTTAAAATTCTCTTTCTGGGTGACTCTGTTCTGAGGCTATTGGTAGCAGGTCTGTGAAGTCACTAACTTCCTCATCCAAATGTTTATCATTGCTGTCACTCAGGTGGGAGTGGGGTTGGGGAGGGTGGAGGAGGCTGGAATCTCAGACTCACTCTTAGAGAAGAATTTTCTGTGGTTTTAGGGCATTGGCCTTCAGAGTTCAATTTGGTTTATCTGATCACTACTCATGCTATTTGCAGAGAATTGAATAAATATGATTTCTAATCTTCTCCAAGGTAACAAGGGAGAAACTTAAGTCTGGAGAAGAGAATGAGCTTTTGCAAAGCCTCTCAGGTGCCTCCTGGGCCCGAATGAAGAGTGAATTGTGTGTGGCTGGCCTGAGCGCAATGCTCCTGAATTTGGGTAAGAGGTGGGGCGGGTGTAGGTCGGGATTGTAAAGTAAATTGAATTGCTGCCTAAGGTCTCTTTTGGCTCCAAATAGGTGCGAATGGGCGAGTGTGCAATTTCATGATACAGAGGGAGGGAGGGAGGGAGAGACTTGATAAGAAAAGGTCCTTAGCTGGGTCTTGTTTCAGTCAGCAGTAGTGCCTGCCACAGTTTCACCCCTAACTTACTTTTCCCAAACTCATTAAGTTTCAGATTTCTCGGGCTTAAAGTCACTAGACAAAGCAGGATCGAACGCCTGAAATGTTGAAGAAACAAATCTTAGTTGTTCTTCAGGAGAGTTCCACCACTCCTTTTTCCTTCGTCTTCTCTTAACTCCTTCCGAATACCTCGAAAACCCGCCACGTCCCTCCATCCCCACGGAAAACCCGCCACGCCCCTCCATCCCCACGGAAAACCCGCC